GTCACTTAATAACGCCCCCACGGCTGAAAGGGCGAGCATGTTTGGTGTGACGGGGATTCGAACCCGCGACCCTCAGATTGCGAGTCGAGCTCCTTAACCACCTGGCCATGCCGGGCCATTTGCTGAAGTAAATTCGTTGTGGAGTGAGCGAATTTCGCGTCATGGACGTTGTGCGTAATTCTTGTATTAAATCATTATTAAGATGGCCTATAATACGATGTAATCTTAACCTGAAGAAAAATCAAATTAGGAACTTAGAATATTTATATTTCTACAGTGTTTTCGAAAAGCAAGCAACAAGTATTTTCCTATAATAGTTATGGAAATTAAATGCAGTGCTGCAAAATGTAATCTATATGAAACTCAAATCTTGATGGTTGTCTTATTTTTGAATTTTTTATCAATAGAAACATATGATGAAGAATGTAGTTTAAGGTGGGCCAAGTTCCAGCAGAACAGTAATTAGGAGATTGGTATCGACCAAGTGTGGTATTCAGATACACTAATGTCCGACTGATAAGAATCAAGAATGCTCAAAGAGCATGTTCCGGAATTCTTATGCAGAGTATTCAAATAAGCACGGACAGCAAAAGAAGTGTTAATAACCAAATATAACAGAAATCTTTATTTGTACAATAACATGTGAATGTATGTATTTCATTCATTGTACGGCCTGTATGTTCACAGTAAAATTGCTATTGTTGGTTATATAAATGAAGTTGTTTCTTTTTTTTTCAAATATATTTGCACAGAGGAAGGATAAGATTAACAATGCACATCTGCACATGAAGACAAAAAGAGAATAACGAATTACTGCACTTTCAAGTCAGAGCAAGGTCCTGCTGTGGTATTCCCTAATCCTCAGATTACTTACATTAATGACTATTTCAAATAAGCAGATTCAAGGGAGAGGTCACCCCAACTCATACTAATTTGTACAAGTGTCTGTATAAATCTTTGAAATGAGCTAACCCCACGAAGCAGACAAAAGATTGAGTAACCATGGGACTGCCATTGTAATAAGTAACCTTTACCTAAGCAAAAGGATATATTTACAACCTTCATACATTTGGTTTATCGGGAATACGCCAATTACATGTAGAACACTTGGATAAAAATTTAGAAAAACAACACGATTAAAGATTTTGTTTGCCGCGGCTTCTTTTGGGTATTCACATAGTTGAACAAAATATATCCGCATTAGCCGTTTCTAAGTTTGAACTTATAAGTCTAGAGGGAATGCAGATTGTCAACAGCACTAATTGCACAACTACTACAATTTGATTTGACCATTACTATTGTAATGTACCCACGGTTACAAAGTGCGAAAAGCGATTTTGTGGCAACGTGACGGGAACGCGAGACTCTCTGATTCATAATCCAGCACGCTAACTACTAAGCTACACCAACCCCCTGAATAAGTATGTATTCTATTCCAGTTATGAAAGGGTAATATATTAATAACATCACACCAGGTACTATGAATTTTCTGCATTTGAATACGTACATATATATTTATAAATATGCAAAGCTTTGTCAAAACGAACATTAGAAATTTACGAAAAAATGTCTTACGTAGGTTATGAGAGAACTATTCTGTATTTAAGCTATAAACCACAATCAAGTAAGACCTCATCAAACATAGTCAACGTACAAATACTGCAGTGAGTCTCCTGTACTTAAATTTCATAAACACACAGAACTCAGTTTTACAGAGCGAAAATTTCTTCAAATTCCAGTGAAAATAACCAAAGGAATATAGATGTCAGCAGCCGACTTGGAGTTTCCAACTTATCTCCTTTACAGAACATCGATGTAGCTCTCTAGGTAGGTGTCTATTGTGATTTTATTTATTTGTTTCGTAAATAATAATATATTATATTATGAATTCCATTAAATCTTGTTGGTTAGGTTGTTTAAATAAACTTTTGAATATATACACCTGGAAAAAAGTT